CCGGACCACGCCCACAGACCAGCGACCGTTCGTAAGAAGCAGTGATGTCAACACCTGGGCTGCATCACCGCAAGCCTCCCCTGGTCAGCTCTGAGCTGCCAGGCAAGGCCCTCACAAACGCCCACCGCTCCGCACGCATTGTCCTTTGTTGGCCAGATGGCCATTGAACTCCCCCAAACCTCCCCCCTCGTCAAGTCCTGTCCAAACCACTGCCCCTGCGACACCCCAGCCCGCCACGACCGTGCACAGTACTTGCACTCCCTGGCTGCAGCTTCTCTCTACAGACGGGCCACCACCGGAACTACACAAAAACGCCTTTAGTTACACATGTTACACTCCTCCTGACAAGGGGTCGGCGGCGCCCGGGCGAAGCCCTTACAATCCGGGCGCCGGCCACGCGCACGTTCCCTTGCCGGAGGCCTTCGGTTGGTAACCGAAGGTTATATACGCTCGCCGCCCCTGCCGCCGACCCTTTTGTTGGACCGCGGGGATACCCCCGCCCGACCCCCGGTCGACCCCCGGTCGACCCCAGGTCGAATCCGGTCGACGGATGTATATGTATCGACCAAGTTTTTTGCGTTGGATGTTCAAAAACATCCTGTTTTACAGTGTTTCGTGGGTGTCGGCGGACACGAGTTTCGTCTAACAGGGCGTCGGTGGTGTCGGTTATGCGCGCCGCGCGGACAGGCTTAATCGACATTTCGTGGGTGTTGTGCACATAAGTTGCCTAACATATCTCTAACATAGGCCCAAGATAGGCAACATATCCCCAACGTATGCCCAGCATAGCCTCCAAGATGGCTCACCACAGGGCCAACATAGGCAAACATAGGCCCAAGATGGCCAACATATCCTCAACGTATGCACAACATAGCCTCCAAGATGGCTCAACACAGGGCCAACATAGGCCAACATAGGCCCAACCTAGGCCAACATAGGCCTAACATAGGCCAACCTAGGCCCAACATAGGCTCAACGTGGGCCTAAGATGTGCCCAACATAGACCACATGGGCTCAACTTGGCCCAACCTAGGGCCAAGATGCGCACCAGATAGCTCAACCAAGTCTCAGAGAGAGAGAAGAGAGAGAGAGAGAGAGAGAGAGAGAGAGGGAGAGAGACAGAGAGACAAAGAGAGAGAGACAGGACCCAGCCCTGCACATGTCCCACACCCCAATAGGCCGGCGCCCGGCTGTCAGGCGTAAGCCTCTTAAATCCGGGCGCCGGCCACGAAGCCCATGCCCTGCCCGGAGGGCCTTCGGTGGTAACCGAAGGTTATAGACGGTCGCGCCGGCTGCCGCCGACCCTCGTCACGAAAACGGGGGGACCCCGTCGTCACTACCGGGTCACTGAAGCCCCTGTAATTTACAGTGTATCGTGGATGTGAAGTATAAAAAACACTGTGTTTTACAGGGTCTATTGCGCATATCGAAGTACGACGCAGGGAAAAGGGAGAAATGCAAAAATGCTGTGTTTTTCAAGGGTGGTGTCGGTAATGCGCGCCGGGCGGACAGGCTTAATCGACATTTTGTGGGTAGATGCCCTCCAGACGACTTACATTGCCTAACATATCCTCAACATAGGCCCAAGATAGCCAACATATCCCCAACATATGCCCAACATAGCCTCCAAGATGGCTCAACATAGGGCCAACATAGGCCAACATGGGGCCAACATAGGCCCAACATAGGCCAACATAGGCCTAACATAGGCTTAACATAGGCTCAACATGGGCTTCAGATGTGCCCAACATAGACCACATGGGCCCAACCTAGGGCCAAGATGCGCAACAGATAGCTTAACTTTGCTCAATATAGGCCTCGTCTCCGACGCGGACCAGTTTCCGGCACCACCAGGGCCCAGCGCATGCCCCCGATAGCTTAACGTGCGCCCGACCCAGCCCTACACAGACCCAAGTGGGCCGGCGCCCGGCTGTTAGGCGTAAGCCTTTAAATCCGGGCGCCGGCCACGGGCCCGTGTCCTTGCCGGAGGCCTTCGGTTGGTAACCGAAGGTTATATACGCTCGCCGCCCCTGCCGCCGACCCTTTTGTTGGACCGCGGGGATACCCCCGCCCGACCCCCGGTCGACCCCCGCCCGAATCCGGTCGACGGATGTATATGTATCTACCAAGTTTTTTGCGTAGGATGTTCAAAAACATCGTGTTTTACAGTGTTTCGCGGCTGTCGGCGGCCACGACTTTCGCCTAACAGGGCGCCGGTGGTGTCGGTTATGCGTGCCGCGCGGACAGGCTTAATCGACATTTCGTGGGTGTTGGGCACATAAGTTGCCTAACATATCCCTAACATAGGCCCAAGATAGCCAACATATCCCCAACATATGCCCAACATAGCCTCCAAGATGGCTCAACATAGGGCCAACATAGGCCAACATGGGGCCAACATACGCCAACATAGGCCCAACATAGGCCCAACCTAGGCCAACATAGGCCTAACAGGCTAACCTAGGCCCAACATAGGCTCAACTTGGGCCCAAGATGTGCCCAACATAGACCACATGGGCGCAACTTGGCCCAACCTAGGGCCAAGATGCGCACCAGATAGCTTAACTTTGCTCAATATAGGCCCCACCAAGTCTCAAAGAGAGAGAGAGAGAGAGGGAGAGAGACAGAGAGACAGAGAGACAGAGAGAGAGCGGGGAACCAGCCCTGCACATACCCAAACCCAATACCCAAACCCAAATAGGCTGTCAGGCGTAAGCCTCATAAATAATTAGCAAGGACGCAGGTGGAGGCCATCGCAAGTAGGTTGAAGGCCATTACTACTAGTAACAAGAAGCTACTGGTAGAAAGGACGTTAACACACTGCCATACACTACAGTAACAGTCACTGTTTTCCGAATTTCAACTGTTCTTCAACAAAAGCTGCGGCTATTCCCGCATAAGCGTTAAAGGGCCACCTGAAAGGCGCTAAGCAACCAGATGGTACAGCTTAAGCAACTGCGAAAACAGGAAGCAAGAGTTTTGCAAGCAAGTGAAAAATAGCAAACGAAGTTAAATACTGTTCACACCTCCTTCAACATATGCGTAACCTCAAACTCCAACATCAAAAGTTTGTGGATTTGAACATACAGGCAGGGCCACTGACGCGTCATCCTGCGGCCAAGAAGGATCGAAGCGCCTCTCCGAACGAAAACCAAAAAGGGATATGAAAAAAAATCATTGTTTCTATTTAGATATTTTCTACTAGCTTCTTGTTCCTAGTAGTAAGGCCCTTGCTCCTAATAGCGAGGCACTTGTTCCTAGTAGCTTATTGTTTCTATGGAATGGAATGTTCTCAAAATCCGTTTCTAAATTGGAGGCCATCGCCCTAGGGTGGAGGCCATGGTTCTAGGTTGGAGGCCATCGCTAGTAGGTTGGGGCCATCGTTGTTGGAAACAAAAAAGAAAAGGAGAAAGGTCTCATATAGATTGCTACTAGGGTTGGACGCTAGCGCTTTTGGGTTGGAGGCCATCGCTTCTATGTTGGAAGCCGGAGGCCATCGCTATTAGAAACAAGGAAGCCTGAGAAGGGAGGAGACGAAAGCCAGCCTCCGGAAGAAAATATGAATATTGTCAACGGGGGTGAACGCGAGAGTGCAGGGGAAGCGCTGGGAGGTATAAGGCGGGGCTGATATGACAGGCCTGCAGTCAGAGGTGGCTGGGGTGCCCTTTTTTCTGTTGGATGAAGGGGCGTTGGAAAATATAAAGGGGCACACTGAAGTCATTGCTTGTTTGCGGTTTGTTTCTCGTGTTTTGTGGATGGGCTCATAGACTTGGTGCGCTGTTAAGAGTGGATCGTACTGTTATGCGGGGAAGTCGGCATGGCAGTGATGCCTGTTGTTGGAAATAGAGAGCATAAGATATAGGACCTGGACAACAATCCCTCCCACGTCCTCCTCCGCTATGTCTGTCTGCCACAAAGCTACCCCACTGCATGCTGTTCTCTCTCCTGCCCTCAACAAGTCACAACATTTCTTGCAACCCCTT